AAAAAAAAAAAAAAAAAAGAAAAAAAAAAACAACAAAAAACAAAAGTGATCTGGAAAGTGTGGTTCCCAGCCTTTTACGTTTTATAAGATAGTAATAGTTCAAAAATATTGAATATAAGAACTAAGTAAGACCATGATAAACATCACAATTTCTTAGCAATCTCCTTTTCACAGAAGACAGAAGAAACCTCTTTCACATCCACTTAGGAGGTCACAGAATGGTTCAGCCTCAAGGAAACATTTTGTCTGGTGGACTGGTGCTGACACACACACACACACACACACACACACACACACACACACACAGCACACAATTGAAATAACAAAAATAAAGTAAGCAGGTGGTAGATGGTGTCTTGGGGATGATAATCTTGGTGAGAGCAGCAGCTGCATTGGGGAAATGAGGGGGCTCGTAGAAGTTCCTAGTCTGCATCAGGAAGTTACTGTTGCACTGTCACACATGGGCAGGAGGCTGCTGATTTTTGACATCTCAAGGGATATTCAATCCCTCATCAGAATCCAGGAGTCCTACCATTCTCCAGGTCCAGATAACCTGGTTGTGGTGGACTCAGCCATTGCTCTGTGAGGGAATGTCTGATCCTAGCATTTCTGTCTTCTTCCATTTGTGTGTGTGTGGTGGGTAGTGGTTTGCCATGCCATGAAGCACCGCTCCTAGTGAGGCAGCAGGTAGCTGTTAGGTACCCACCTGCCCCTTGGGTGTGGCCACCAGGGACCCTTAAGACCTGGGATGCACTTAAGCATTCTCTCTACCTTGTGGATTTGGGATGCTGAGACAGACCAGGGCAGAGTTCGCCAGAGAACAGCTTGGACCTTGCCTCACCCTTCCAGGATCCTGCTACAATCCCTTGTTTCTGTCTTGTGAGTTAATCCCCAAATAAATTCCTTTGATCATTAAGCTGATCCCATGGATAGGGATTTAATCAAATTAGTGTCTGTCCCAGCTAAAGTGGAGAACAAGAGGATGGCATGATGCTGTCACCAAGCTACATGTACTGGGCAAACGTAGACATAGGCAGCTCTCAAGAGTCTGGGCTGACTTGGAACCAGATCAGATTTAGGGATGATATGAAGAGATAGTGATCACATGGTGACCCACTCTAGTGCAGGCTTAGATGGGATGTTTAGATGTGGAGCTGGATGGTTTACTAAACAAATTTGTTTGAGGTATGGACTTAAGTATCCCAGGCTGGCCTTGAATTTGCTATGCAGCCAAAAGTGACCTTGAATTTCTGATCCTCCTTGCTTCCACATCCCAAGTGGCTGGGATTATAGGTGTGTGTCACCATGACTACTCTGTGTTGAGCTGGGGATTGAACCCAGGGCCTTCTGCCTGCAAGCACTCTACTGAGTTTTATTGTCAGCGGAAGGTTGGTGTGTGTGTGTGTGTGTATGTGTGTGTGTGTGTGTGTGTGTGTGTGTGTGTGTGTGT